CCAACACCAGGGAAAGGCAGGGCCCACCTGAAGTTCATGGCTGAGCAGGTGATGAGGTTCATTGGGAGCTTGGGGTACTCACGAGTAATTCTCAAGGGAGATGGAGAACCCTCGATGAGAATGCTGTTGGAGGTACTTCAACAAGCAAGGTTGAGATTGGGATTCCACAGATTCACGAGCCAATGGTCGTGTGGAGAGAGAGATCCAGACGGCGAGAGGCATGGCGAGGACATTGGTGCACGGTGTCAAAGAAGGCTGTCAGATGCACATCAAGCCATCTTTTGGGCTATGCGCCATGCTGGATGGTTGTTGACAGGAAGAAAGTACTGTGGCAAAGTTGCAGTCTTCGGTGAAAGAGTGTTGGCAAGGGTGAAAAGAGCCAACGGCAGTGACAAGTTTGAACCGGGCTTGTGGCTTGGGAAGACAGACAGAGCAGATTTCCACACGGTAGCAACAGCTGCAGGTTTGAAGTGGACAAGAACCATCAGACGGCTACCGACTCCTTTTGACCCTGAGGCCGTGATGTATGTGAAGTTCTGGGCAGATTGGTGCCAAAGCTTCTTCGCTGGTAGGCAAATTTCCTACGGTCCCATTGCCTCCAGATCTCGCCCCAGGAATCCGAGCAGAGGAGAAGAAGTTGGCTAAGGAGGAGAGAGCAAAGAAGAAAGAAGATGAGGCGAGGCTGAGGGGTGAAGAAGGACGAGAAGACAAGAGACAGGCAGGGGCAGATGAAGAAAGCAGAAAAGGAGATGATCCAGACATGAGTGATTACACTCCAACACAACCAGATGAAGAAAAGGATGAAGGAGGTCTGGTGATTACAGATGGCACGTTGCTGCAGGAGGTCTGGTGATAGTTTGGAGGAGCCTATGGTTGAGAGCGAGTGTGACAAAGCACCAGCCAGTCCAAGAAGAAGCCCCATGGATAGTCCAAAGAGGTCAGGTGGAGAAGGAGATGTGGAAGATGAAATGCCAAAGAAAGTGGCAAGGTCTGCACCGAAGAAGATGTTGAAGACCAAAGCAAGTTCAGAGAAGGATGAACCGGAACCAGCATCAGCTTCGACAATTCGCATGGTGGTTGCTGGAGAACTGCTGTTTGATGGAGATGAAAGTTTGGAGTTTCCAGATCAACCTCCAGAGTCGCCAGAGGCTGAGCTTGCGGAGATTGAAGATGAAGCCACAAAGGAAGAGATTCAGTGGCTGATTGGCATGACAGTTTTACTGCCACCAGGAAAGAACGATGATTTGGAAGACATTCCATTGTTCACAACAAAGTTGGTGATGGATTGGCGGCGGCGAGAAAACACGTGGAAGAGAAGGGCAAGATTGGTTGCACGTGATTTTGCCTGGTGTGATCCTAACAGGACAGACGTCTTTGCACCAGCGGGAGGACACTCACTCCTGAGACTGGCCCCAGCCATTTGTCAAGTCAAAGGCTGGAAGATGATCACTATGGACGTCAAGGACGCGTACCTGATGTGTGCACAGCCACGAAGGTGAAAGTTAGCCTAGACAAGGCATTAGCAGAACGACTTGGACTTCAGCAGGGATGGATTCTTGGCAGGATTCTCCCAGGACAACGAGAAGGTGCAGCGCAATGGTTCCAAGAATTGAGGAAAAGCCTGATTGAGGCAGGGCTCACGCCATGTGCTGAAGCGCCTACTTTGTGGAAAGGCCAAGACGTGATTTCGCTAGTCCATGTCGACGACATGATCCTTGGAGGAGAAGAGAAAGAAGTCGCCAGAGTTACTGACCATCTCATGAAGCGCTACAAGGTGTCTGTGGAGGATGACCAAGTGCTGAGTTTCTTGAAGAGGACTTTGATGGTGGATGCCTCAGAAACCAAGATGATGGTGAATGAGAAGTACATCCACAACCTCGTGAAGATGATGAGTCCCTTGAAGAGATCGAGAACTCCAGGAACTGGAATTGAGGATGGAAAGACCATGGAGGAGGACGACTGGAGGAAGCCAATGTACAGGTCAGCAGTTGGAACATTGCTGTACATGGCCGGTGACAGGCCAGACATCCAGCTTCATGTGAAAGAACTGGCAGGACGACTAACAGAAGGTGCATGGAAAGCTCTTGACAAGTTGGTTGGCTATTTGGCTACAACCATGGATATGCATTTGGTGATGAGGAGTCAGACGAAGAGCAACTCGTTCAGGAACAGAACACGAGGTCTGACAACAGCGCCCATGTTTAAAGAAGCTGAGCACATGTGGCTGCTGGAAGTGACCTGCGATTCAGACTGGTCAGGAAACAAGCAGACACGAAGCTCGACATCAGCAGGATGTATTTTCTTGGCAGGCAATTGGATTCACTCCTATGCCAGAACCCAGAAGAACATCACGTTGTCAAGCACGGAGGCAGAGTATGTTGCCTTGGTGTCAGGAGCTTCAGAAGGTTTGTTGCTGAAAGCTGCAGTCGAACACCTTACAGGTGAGCAGGTGAAGTTGGTCATCTATGGCGACAACAGTTCGAGCATAGCAATCGCTCAGAAGGAAGGTGTTGGGAAGTTGAAACACCTAAGTGGCCGACTACTATGGCTCCAGCAGAGACAGAGCAAAGATTCAGATTTGCGGAAATTGGATACGGCTACAAATCCATCTGATATAGGCACCAAGACGCTTGGAGGCAAGCGCATCAACCTCTTGATGTACGTCATGGGTTTTACAGACTCCTCACAACAGCTTGGCAAGACAGAGTTCGAAGCAGAGAGAGCAAAGGCTGAGCAGAAGAGGAGGTTGCAAGAAGTGAGAAGGATGGTGTTTGCAGAAGAAGGGACACCAGAGAAGAGCACCCAGGCGAACCAGCTGGCAAAGAGATTGCTGAGGCTCACGATGACGGCATTGCTAGCAGATTCAACCTTGGGCCTGGCGACGGCAGAAGATCAGCAGTGCTTTCCAGAGGATGAGCCGCAGAAGCAGCCAGAGGGATTGCCTGGGAGAAGGGAGACAGGAAGAGAGATTCTTGAGCAAGTGGTGATGGGATTGACAATCGCCATCGTGATTTTGAGCATTGCAATCCTGATCTTGCTGAAAGCCTTGAAGAATACAGCAAGAGTCTTGAGGAGACATACACCTCAGATGAAGAGCAAGAGAGGATTGATTTGAGCATGTGGAACGCTCCAAGGAGATGGCCGGAGAACCAAGGAAACACAGAATGGCAGAATTGGTCAAACTGGCCATCAGGGCACAGGACCAGACATGAAAATGATGAGACAAGCGAAGAACCTGAAGGAAGACAGTGGGTTCAATGGGCAGGAAACTCTGGATTAACCTCCAGAGATGTGGTTGGCCCGCCTTGGGGTGAAGAAATGGAAGAAGAAGCACAAGAACAGGATGGTGAAGTGAGAGTAAGCTCTTACATCGACGATGAGGGCTATGCGCACGAGACAGAAGTGCGTGTGAGAATGGTGAGACTTGAGACAGAGGAGGAAAGAAGGCAGAGAGATGAAGATGAAGAATCTGAGAATAGCCTGACGACGGACTATATGGAAGTCTGGAAGGACACATCGAACCAGTGGGTGACTATGAGCACCTGGAAGATGATGCCTACCAGGCATACAGGCTTGAGCAGATTGAGAATGATGTGGGCATTGAAGTGTACATCATCATGAAGGTGAGACAATTTCGCCAGATGATGGAAGAAGACCCAGCAGACGAAGACATCCTTATGGGACGGATGTTGATGATCACCGGAGCAGAGACAAGAAAGGAGGTGACTGACTACATCAGAAGCCTGAGGCAGTACACCTACCATGTGAAGAAGGGGCATGAAGATGTGAATTGCCCCTTAGAAGAAAGCGAATGCATGGCCAGATGGCTGGATGACTGCAAATTGGGGACCACCAAGAATGCTGAGAGAATTCAGGATGCCACCAAGAAGACGACAAAGGAGACGGAGAGATGAAAGCAGCAGCTCTGAAGAGCAGGATGCAATGGCGGCATTCGAGCTGCAAGATCAAGGTCGAGACGACCAAATGCTCATGGACGAACCTGAGCCTGAGATCGAGTAGGTGCACCTTTAAGGTTAACACCGAAGAGGTTTCAAGGCAAAGGTCCCATGTTTTGGCATGACTTTGCCGTGAAAAGGCAGGGTGTAAAGCTGTGACCATGGCGGTTACATACCCGCAACGTACAGGTTCCAGACTCGCCCACGCAGGCGAAAACGGGCGCTCGCACGTTCGCTCACGTGTTTCCAATATGTAATATATCCCAACTTCAAAGGTCTTAAGCATTAAGAGCAAGTTCTGCATCATGAGCAGGAAATCATATGGTGTTGCATTCATGGTGTTGTGGATGCAGCTGATTTTCTGGCACTATGTTCGCTCAGAGCTGCATTTGATTTCCGATTTGCATGAGGTATTGTCGAGTGCGGGGGGATGTGCGATGCAGTGTTTATCCAAGCAAATGATGCCACTGGGGACATTGTGGCCCTGAAGACTCTTCGGGACCTGCAGGTGCTACTCCTCGCAAACACCCAGGTGAGTGGGGACATTGCGGCCCTGAAGACTCTCCGGGGCCTGCAGGGGCTGGACCTCTCAAACACCCAGGTAAGTGGGGACATCGATGCCCTGAAGACTCTCGGGCGCGTGGAGGGGGTGTCCCTCGCAAACACCCAGGTGAGTGGGGACATCGATGCCCTGAAGACTCTCGGGCGGCTGCAGGATCTAGACCTTGAAAACACCCAGGTGAGTGGGGACATCGAAGCCCTGAAGACTCTCGTGGGCCTCCAGGCGCTGAGCCTCGCAAACACCCTGCAGGTGAGTGGGGACATCGATGCCCTGAAGACTCTCGGGCACCTGCAGTGGCTGTACCTGGAAAACACCCAGGTGAGTGGGCGCATCGATGCCCTGAAGACTCTCGGGAACCTGCAGTGGCTGTTCCTCCAAAACACCCAGGTGAGTGGGGACATTGCGGCCCTGAAGACTCTCGCGCACCTGCAGCACCTGCACCTCGGCAACACCCAGGTCACTGGCAACGTCGATGCCCTGAAGACTCTCAGGGACCTGCAGCGCCTGTACCTCGAAAACACCCAGGTCACTGGCAACATCGATGCCCTGAAGACTCTCGGGGACTTGCAGGAGCTGGACCTCAGTAACACCAGCGCGAAGGGAAATGTCACGATAGCCATTCAGTGGAAGAAGCTTGAGAAATTGAACCTCCGCGCAACAAGCGTTTCGGGTTGGATAGACCCCTCCACATGGAAGGGCTGCTGCCAACAGCTTCGGACACTGGATCTGGCAGCCACGGGCTCAGTGAGTTGTTCATCCTGCAGCTCAGTTTTGGTATGTTCGTGTGATTTTGCGTGGCTCAGTTTGGTTGCAAAGAGTAAGGACAGCCAGGTGGGGCCGGTGCCGCAAGTCGTCATACCCGAGTTCTTTAGTGAAGAGCCGCTGTTTCCGGCTTTGCATGAGCTGTACGCGGAGGGCTTAATTGACTTTTTCGGATGGCTCTGTTAGACGGTGAGCAATTGAACTTACAATTGTTGTTTCCAGAGTTTGTGATGGTCAAGGTCGACCGTTGCCGGCTGAACGCATCAATAGAGGACCTGCTCTACCCCCTGCTGGACAGCAGCCTCGTCACCGTTGGCGCATCAGCTTGTGGCCTTGTTGGAGATGTCCCGCACCTATCAGGTGTTGCAGCTCGAAAGGACGGGATGGCCTTCTCGAAATACTATGGCAAGCTTGCGCAATCGCTCCAGGTCCTAGACCTATCCTCCAACCGATTGGCCTCCCTGCCGGCTGTCCCTGTCGCGACGCGGCTCGTGCTGAGCCAGAATGAAATCCCCATCACCGTGACCCCATCTGCCCTGGCTGAAGCCTTGAGAAAGGGCGCTGAGGTGTGGTTGGAGCACGCGGAGGTCGCCAACTGGCAGGAACTGGAACTTTCGCTGCCAAAGGAGCTCCAACTACAAGAAACCTTCGGAGAAACCCGCGAGGGCTTTGCTTGCAAGCAGCTGGTGGAACCCTTGCTGCGGGTCACACCAAGTGTCTTCATGCCGGAAAGGATGTGTGCCTGCCAACCAGGCTACAAAGGGTCCGCGATTCACTGCTCTCCTTGCCAAGACAACACCTACACCAATGCAGCTGAGCTCTGTTGGAGAAACTGTGTCATCTCCAATTCCTCTGAGTTGTCATGAGCTTCTCTTTTTTTTGGTGAGTTTTGTTGCGCTGTGCATGCAAAACCTCCCCCAAAACAAACAAATACATCTAAGGCCACCAACTCCGCACGGTGCGACCCATGTCCGCTGCACAGCGTCGCGCCTGACGGCGCGGCCTCCTGGCGTTCTTGCCGCTGCCTCTTCGGAGAGATCCAGTGGCATCAGGGCGCTTTGAGATGCCAATGCCTCCGTGAAACCGCCTTAGTGGATGAACCCGACGGAACGCTGTGAGCCCTGCCACAAGCTGCAGCTCAGCTGCCCAGAAGCTGGTAGCAATGCATCAAGTGCTGACGTGCTGGATGGCCATGCGCGACTGCCTACCAGGCCTACCGCTGCCTTGATGCAAAGCGCTGCAAACCCTCAGGGTGTGCAAAAGGACAGGGATATACGTCACGTATACCGATTATGCTTTTGTTTTTTCATAGTATATTTAGTAGTATTTTATCACACCGATCCGCACGTTTCTAGATTTCTTGACATAAAGCAGGTCCAGATACATGATGAAGCAGGGCCCAACAGAGCAACCTTGAAAGTTGAAGCTCTTGAGCTGGGTGGCTCACTGAGTGGCAAAACCTTGATCGATCCAACCGTCGCCTTCTCCGCAGCTCTCGGCCAGGATACACTGGAATCCTTTGCTCCAACTGCACCGAGGGGTACCGCGCCACCCAGAACGAGTGCAAAGAGTGCACGGATGCTCGACACATTTCCAAAAGACACGTCGTTCCTTTGGAAGCATTGCTTGCTGAAGCTTTGCTTGTTGTTGTTGTGGTGGTGGTGCTTTTTCCCTTTGGGTAGGATGTTCTGAAACCAGCGTGGTAACCAGCTCGTCAAAAAACGAAAATTAGTTTCTTTGGCGAACTGTATTGAAATATCACTCACATTGTGACTCAACTTTTGCCAGAGCCTGTTCAGCCAAATCCAGGCTTTGGCGGCCTCAGGTAGCGCTGGCATTTTGGCCCTTGGTGCTGCTGCATGGATCCTCAGGTTGGGAGAGATCACAGCAGTTTCCACGTAGGTGTGCTGTGTATTTTTATGCACATGATTCATGCTTTAGTGTACGCGGATATTCACTGAGATTGGTGCAAGTGTCATTATGTGAATGTTTCCTCATTCCTTTGGAAAAAACAAGCCCTTTCTCCTTTCAATTTGGTAAGCACACCTTGGACTGGGTGCCTATAGGCTTGGGCAACGGATCTTCATGAACCAATAAGACCTGATTGCCTGGCGCACCCCATACGCCTCCACATGCCAGTCGGAATGCGATTGCGTCACTTCGGAAGGCGTCAACTGACCTGGGACCTTCGCTGGCAATGCGTCGCAGATCTGATTCTTCCGCAGCTCGCGGTGCTGCTGCAGCTGGTGCAGCTGTGGTCTGTCTTGGGTCGTTTGCCACTGCAGGATTTTGGTGGCGCAGGGAACGCCACAGGGCTCGCCACCGATTTCGCCAATGCTACGGGTGGTATGATGGACTCCCAGGGCTCGCAAGGTGGCTCGCAGCTGGATCAATGAAAGTTTGAAGTGATCCTAAATAGGCCTTCAAAAAGCTAGGCTTCGCGGGATTTCACACCATGCTTTTTTAGGAGGCTCTTTCAAATGATTTGGTCATCTTTATGCTAAGGGATGACTACAAAAATTAAAACAGGATGTCAATCTCTCCAACAAAGCGCCAAAAGAACAAGAGTTGACTGGTTCCAAGGTGATGAGTTGTTGTCCTACCTGCAGATCTCGCAGCTGACCTTCACCGAACTGCAGGGCTTCCTGGCGCTGCAGTGTGTCTTTGATGGAGCCTTGGTGCGCCTGCTCTTCGCGCTGTTGACGCCCACAGGGCCTTTGGTAGTTCTCTTGGGCTGCTGTGTCATCGAAGCCTTCCTACGAGGTACTGGAGGCTTGACGGAATGGATCAGACCGTTTTGGGGCTAAGAAACCGTGCTGAGCTGCGGCTACGGAAGCTGCCTAAGCAAACTGTTTGATCATGGAAGCTAGTGACAGCTAGTCACTACTGTAGTGAAGAGAGGCAATAAAACACGTTGTGTGAAAGGTAAACTATAGTGGTCAGAATGGAGCCAGATAGTGTTTTTTTCCGCTTCATTATATACATGAGAGGTGACGTTGCGCGGTTGATCGGGGTATGTTGAGAGGGGCGAAGTGCTCAAAGTTCGCCAAAGTCGCTGAGGAATCCAACTTGCGTTGAAGATCCTTGCAGTGTTGTTCATTGGTGGTGCTGCCGGGGCCCTTGAATTGCAGGGATGCCAACGTGTGGATGGAGCAGGCAGGACACCAAGTGGAAGCTCACTGGCAATGCCAGTTTTCGTGTTTTCAGTGCAAGTGCGGATGTGCATGTTGCACATATTTGTGTGTGAGGGGTGCCCCTCAGACTGCCCTTCCGGTTGCTGGTGATTAATTATGCACATCACGTGAATAACGGAAGCTGGCCAAGCTTGGCCTGCGAACCTTTGAGTTTTCTTGGACGAGGCTCGCCATATATGTTGCAGAATGAGTGTCGCTCAACATATGTTGCAGGGGAAGCACTGGACCCAGAAGCAGCTTTTCCTCCTTTGATGCCTCACCTGCTTTGCACAGATGCAACATGGGTCAAAAGCTCAGCAGATGCGCGTGGACACCGTCAATGGTTTCGGATGTCGGAGTTCACAGACACGACCAATTGATGTACTGTATATATAATATATACAGTATATGATCATGATATGGTGCCCCCCCCTTGACCTTCACAGGCATTCAAAGACCCAGAGAGGACTCCTTTGGCATTCTCAGAGGAATATATTGTAATAAATAGCCTTGTTGGTTCTTTTCTGCGAATGGGCTTGCTATTGTCCATGGTGCCATTCAGGTCGACTGGATTGGCCGGGCATGTGCCGCCTCGTATGGGGTGGTGATTCCTTCCTTTTTGGCATTGCTCTTTTTGAAGCAGTACGTGATGATGCGCCAGAGCAAGACGTTCTTCGCAACCTCCGCAGGCAGCCAGGAGGAGGTGACCCTGCAGCTACACACGATGAGCAGCAAAGAGTGCATGAAGGAGCGGAGAGACGGGGCGAGGCTAAAGCTTTCTAAGGTTGAATGTCCTCCTGTCCTGAATTGAAGAACCAAAGTTTGCACCTTGGGGTATGCCTCGCTTCTGCTGCGCTTTTACTGTTTTGGTGTACCCCTTGGTGCAGGAAGATGTGAAGAAGAAGCGCTTGGTTGCAGCAGCAGCGGCTTATGTGGCAGTTCATGCCAAGGGGCGCGCCGTGGTCAATTTGCAGAAAGATTTGAGTGCAGTGATTCTTGGTTTGCGACTGCGAATTTGCAGAGTGTGTTGACACGTAACGAGGACTGTTGGGTCAGGCCTCGAGAGGCCCAAGATTCAGGACGATCTTGTGTCGTGTTGTCACGAACGGTGAGTAGTGAAGGTCCTTGTACTCTTGTTGCTACGCCTTGCCGTGCCGAGGACTGTGAACATCGCTCAGGATGCGGAGGTGCTTGGCGAGCTTGACACTGGGCTGTCTGACGCTGTGGCAGCACTGAATTCCATTCACAGTGTCCCAAAGCAGTTCCAAACAGGTGATTGGACCTTCTGACTCCGCAAAATGCAGGCTGAGGGGGTTCAACTTGGTTCAATTTATGCAACATGTCACCTCTCACAGCTGTGATCCCCTTTTGCATTCCCTCTTCGGCTCAGGCGGATTTCCTGGTGCAGCCGGAAGAGGCCGCGGCGCTGCGCAGCCGCGTGGAGATGCTGCGCCACGACGCCATGGTGCGAATGCTCACGGAGCGCAGCATTCTGACGGAGATCCAAGCAGATCGTTCCGATCGAGTCTTGGACCTCACAGAACTGAAAAACGAAAATATACCGAAAAAAAACGAACGTGTTGGAATGAACAAATTCAATGAAAAAACTCAGTCTTCTTTTAGATCGAGCTTGAAGAACTTCAGAATCAACCATTTCGTCTTCCAGATCGAGGTTCTTCAATAAGACTTTGTATACATCAGGTTCTTTTTTGAAGTCTTTGCTTATGATGTGTAAGATAGGAAGGCGGATGAACTATGCTGAAATTCCGGACCTCCAGGTGTCATGTTGGGTGCGCAGAAGCTCCTGTGCAAATACGTGGCTTTCTTGCAATTTCTTGCATACTGGCATGGATTCTTCAACCGCGGTGGGCAGCAAGACTCACAAGCCCTGCAACAACCTGCCAAACTCTTCCGAGATCCGGCTAGGCTGTTCGCATGTTCAATCTGCGTCTAACCCAGAATCCACCAAATCCAAGAAGCCATTGACACATGCTGCGAGCCAATCGAACGTGAATTTGACATAGTCCAGGTTTTCGCAGTTGTCCTTCCCAGGTGAGCTGCCAGTTCGTATGGATGGAGGTTTGCCTGAAGTTGGCCTCTACCGCTATGGTTTCTGTGCCTTGGTTTTCCTGGAAGCATCGATGAAGTCTTAGTCTTTTGCATGTTTCTTTCGCTGTTCGGGTAGATGTGGATGTGTCCTTCGGCTCCC